TATGTTGAAAGGATGGGGACAAGAGTTAGACTAGTTTACCTAACTAGAAAGGCTAACTAACTAGTAAGTACATGGTTAACTAAAGTGTCCAAAACATTTCTATATGACTTATTAATCATATCATATGATATAATAACTAGTTCCCCTTTTCATTTTTTTTAATTTTCGTAAAACAATTTAATTAAATACAAGAGTTGAATTCATTTATTGATAATTAAATACTTAATAAATATTCAATAAGTATCAACTTGATTAAATTGTGACACTATAGGATCATATAATATTACCAATATCAGTCAATAATGATTCATGAGCATATAGATCCAATAAGAATAACCTTCCATTACCCACCACAACCTTCATTCTAAATAAATCATGAAGCTTTACACCTAACTTCAAGTAATCCTCTTCAATTTGAAAAATATTAAGCTAAATGTCCGAGTCGGTTTTTTTAGCAAGATGCTTATTATCAATAAAATACATAAAATGAAAAGAGTTGTGGAATTACACAAAAAATGGTTAACTCCGTCCTTCAAAGTGTCACCACTATTTAGTTAAACGATCTAAATTAAGTAGTTTGAGACATCCCACAACAAGCCCCCAATCACATCTCTTTCTAAATTGCTCCAACAACTTTATCACTTTACAAGGCGCCTTAAAAAGAGAGAAATAATAAAGCGGGAGAATCCCTAAGACCGACATCACCAGCATGCCAATCACTAAATGAGAGATTTTTAGCTTTCTTAGAGCCCAATTTAGCTTGAAGCCTCCCCAAAATAGGATCAAAAACTTTAGCAAGGTTCATATTATCATCGACTAGAATTCCAAGAAAGTATGTTTATCTCCTACTTATCATCCCAGTGCCATAAAATTTACATTTGTGAAGGTTAACTTTAAGATTGGAAGCAATAAAGAAACATTCTAAGCAACCTATTTAAATTTATTATGTTGATTGAGGACAATTCACTAATAAAAATAACATTATTGGCATACATGAGATGAGACAATATATGGCTGCTTTTAGGTAGCTAAGTGCAATAATATAAGTGATTGTCATAAACCCCTCTCAAGAAAACATGAAGTCCCTCCATGTAAAGAGTGAAGAGGAAAGGAGAGAATATCTCCTTGAATTACACCTCTACTAATAAAAAAAACTCCTTAGTTGGAGAGCCATTAACTAAGACAGGATCACGTCCAGAAGAAAGAGACCTCACTATGCACTTTCTCCATTTGCATCCAAATTGCATTTGCTCCATAACTGAATCAAGAAATCCCCAATTCAAAGAGTCAAGGCTTTATCGAAATCCACATTAAAGATCATAACTTCCTTCTTTTATGTTCTTCCTTCTTCGCTTTTTTACTAATGACACTTTGAGACGATTTAGAAGAATTTTACACAACGCTTTATCCATACAACCAATCAGGTTGATTGGTCGATAATATTTAAGAGAGAACATATCATTAACATTAGGGGTAAGAGTGGTGAAGGAGGAGTTGTAACCCCTTTTTCAAAGACCCCCCCAGCTTCAAAATCTTTTACAAAAGTTAGTAAAAATTTGGCCATATGTCCTCCCAAAAAAACCTTCAAAAACATGAACGAAAAGTGGTCGGGACCCAATGCTTTTTCACTACTGCAAGGCCAAATCGCCATTTTTAGCTCATCTAAAGAGAAAGGAGCTTCCAAAAACGTATATTCTTCCAATGAGAGCTTTCAAAATCTCTCACTAACCAAACTCGACATCACAATGAGAGTTTCATCAAATTTCTCTGAGAAAAATTTCAAAACTTATGTTGAATAAACGTGTATTTATAATTTCATTTTAAAATATGATTTATATTTGAAAACAACTAATTAAATGAGAGGACTTTATAAAAGATTTTTTTTAAATAGATGTGGATAAATTAGCAATATTTATTTTAAAAAATACTATAATAGGTTAATAATTTTAAAGGTCGTTTATTAGAGATCTAAATTAATAGAACGATGAGATCATAATATTTTGAATAAAATTATATGTAAAGTATATGTTAACCATGACATATGTTCGAATTAAATATCTTTGACGTTTTTTATTTAGAAAATTATATAACTACTATATAATTTTAGCAAAATAATAAAATACCACAAGTGTATTAAAACTTATGTTTTGATATGGTTTACAACATTAATTGCTTGAAAAAAGCTACATTATAAGTCTTTAGTTGTGAGGCGCCAAACATAGTATTTGTCTTATTTACTTTGGAATTAATGGAGAATATCTATATTTTGTGGAAGAAAAATCAATTGCTGTATCAAACATTTATTGAGTTATTGACCATATAAGTGTTTTTAAAAAATTTATTTACCCAAGAGGTATACTTTCAAACTTATTTACCATATAGGGTCATTTAGCTATTTAATGAAGAAAACAATTGTGCCCTAATTTGCTTTTTTACTGAAATAGATTTCCTACTGTTACGTCTTCTTCCCTGGGTAAAACATGATTGCACACCTTCCAGCAAGACCATCATCAACGACACTCCTCTGCCGGCGACTCCAACGACGACGTCGGCGATTCCAGCTAGGGATGGGAATCGGTTCGATTTTTTGGTTTTTCGATTTCCTCGAAACGGTTTGCTCGGTTTGAAATTATTTTTTTGTCCAATTTGAAACCGAACCAAATCGAATTAAAATTTTCTAGACCAAACCGAAAACGGAATTCTAATTCAGTTTGGTTCGGTTTGAAAACCGAGGAAACCAAATATTAACTTAAAAAAAATTCAAACATAAATTAAAACGTTTTTTAACATAGAAACCTAAAGTTACAAACAGAAAGATGTAAAGTTTCATACAAAATGATCCAAAGAGTAAATGGGTTAAAATGATTTTTACTTTATAATTAATACTTTTATTTAATATAAAATATAAAATATATTTTTTAATTAATTGATTTATGAAATTCGGTTTTTCGGTTTGGTTTGCTTTAAACTTTATGAGACCGAAACTCGAACCAAAAACCAAATTTACAATTCGGTTTGGTCTCAAACCAAACCAAAAACCGAATTTGAATATGGTTCGGTTTGAAATTGATTTCGGTTCGATTTGGTTTTTGGGTTTTTCAGTTCCGGACCAAATAATTTCCACCCCTAACTCCAGCGATGGCACCTTCTGACTCCATCGACGAATTCGACAACTACTACGATCTAGGTACGTTTTTCTGCTTTAGATACAACTTCGTTTTTGAATTATAACTTCAATTTTTAGGCTGTAATCTTTAGTTTAGGTCGATTTGAAGTTCGATTTTTGGTTTCTACATTTGTGAAATCGATTTCTGATTTTGTATTTGCTTCAGTCACAGGTTTGTTTATTTGATAGTTGATTTTGTTCTGCTTTTGTATTTGCTTCTGTCACAGGTTTGTGAAATCAATTTCTGATGTTTGATTGTTGATCTTGATTTCTAATTTGTATTTGCTTCAATCACATTTGTGAGATTGATTTTTGGTTTCTATTTGCTTGAATATGCAAAGATGTGCTAATTGCAACAATTAAAGTATTTGAGATTGAGTTTATGTTCTGATTTATCCATTTGATTGTAACAGGTGCTGATTTATCTATTGATTTCTGGTTTCTTTTTTTTTTGTTTTTCTTATTTTATGTATTTGATTGTAGATGGATGCTAATGTCATATTAGACATTGTTCAGAATGAGAATTTCCACTCAATCTCTCAAGTTTCTGTTGCAAGCAATGCAATAATAATTGATAATAAAGTTGTTGCAAATGATGTATTAGAAGAAGAAATTAGAGAAGAAGATGATGAAAAATGTTTGTGTAAGACTATATTGAGTGCAAAAGAAATGTTATATGTATAGGGAAACGTACTAATCAATTATGTGTAATAAGCTTGTAACAAATTAAGTCAAAGTCAACCAACCTTCAATTATTAATTACTTTGTGAAAGTAGTCACATGTTGTATTTTAAGCCACTTACAATTTTTGATTATGTATTTTTGTTTTGGGCCGAAAATGAATGGTTTAAAAAAAAACAATACAAGCTTACATGCACATGGTTTTCAGTTCTTACGGTTTTAAAAAACCGCACCAATAAACATAAAAAACTACACCAAAGCCTAAACACTATTTAAAACCAAAACCGCACCGATACAACCGAAACCGCATTTGAAAACCGTAAAACCGAACCATTGCAAAACCGCACCCAACGGTTTTAGGAATGCAAAAACCGCACCATGCGGTTTTACGGTTCGGTTTGGTCTTAAAACCGCACCAAACCGCATCATGCCCACCCCTAGTTTCTTAGTTTTTATAAGAAAAATTGTTAGTTATAATAATGTTTGTAAAAAACAATTAATAAACATTAAAAGCAAAGAAAAAGAAAACAAAAAATTATATTAAATAAATAAAAAGTTAGTTAAAGTGAATGTTTTAGAATGTTATGAATATTGTTTTACTTTTGGTTTATGGTTGTGTGAAAGAAAGAAAGGAGAATCATATATTTTAAAAAATAAAATAAAATACTAAATAACCCTATATGCTAAATATGTTTAAAAGTATACCTTTTAGATAAATAAGTTTTTCAAAAACACTAAAAACTCCAACATTTTCATACAAATGCAATTGAAATTTTTGACAAATGACATCATGCCATTATTATACCTTCTCTATTTTCTTAAACTTAATTAGACACAATGCTGATCAAATGATATGGTCTTTTTCTTTTTGTTTTATATTGAATAGTCATCCATGTGATTTTTTTTGCAATATATTACTCCTTGCGTATCAAATTAAGAAATATATGTTTTTGTGCTTACATTTATTTAATTAAAATCAAAAAAGTTTTATGTTTGACTTCTATAGACGCATAGAATAAAGTCACAATTGTCTCATAATTGAGTTCAAACAATATTTCATTATCATCCAATAATGAAAATTAATGTTTGCAGACTCGTGCTTTCGAATTTCTCATTCTCTTAAATCATTACACACAACCGAAAATAAAAACATTTACCATCGGATATGGCTGGTCAACTTACTGAATGAATTACTAATAACTACCAGTCTTACGGCTTTACTAACTCTCCTAGCATCTCGGTAAATTATGACGCCAGATGTATCCCTGAAAAGTGTCGCTGACAGTTATGCATACAATAAGTAGATGTAAACGTACGTTGGTGGTGAGTTTTACAGTTGAAATGTCTAATTTACAAGCCAGGTGATATATTTACCAATGATATGGCTCTTCTGCTTGAAGCCTAAAGTCGATATCAATTTCAGGCCCCAGATGCCATGATGAATGGTAATAGCCAAACATATCGCTCCTATGGTTGCTGTTTAGAGAAAGATCTGGCAGTTGAAAGAATGCCTCATCGTCTTCTACTATGGATGCCACTGAATCTTGTGTGTTATCTGATGATGATAAAGTGTTTGATGAATTAGAGTGAGAAAGAACTGTATTACTAGGTGATTGGGGTTCATCTCCGCCACATGAAGCTGCAGCCTTAGCCGCCGCTTCTTGAATGTCCTTAGGTGATGTGGTGGCTGGCTGTGGAAGTAGATGCACGGTGTCAGGGAAATTGAGGTAAGCTGAACGGCCTTTTATGGCTATTGCTGCCACGTCATGGGCTCTGGCTGCCATCTCAGCTGTTAAGAATGTTCCAAGCCATATCCTTGATTTCTTCCTTGGCTCACGAATTTCAGACACCCATTTGCCCCAACTCCTCATTCTTACACCTCGATAGGAAGGGTGATGGCGTTTCTTTTGGGTCGCTGACATTGTTTCCCTCTTGAGATCTCTTTGATCGTTTTTGAGGGTTGCTGCCCATTGGAGTGATAGTAGAGACGGTGGTTGTGGTTGTGGTAGTGGTGGTGGTGGTGGAGGTGGAGGTGGAGGTGGAGGTGCAAGAAGAAGATGAGAGTAGGTTGACTTTACAAGCATTTTCCATATTGGCTTTTCCTGTTGTATGGAAATTGTGATTGCCAGCTACAAAGAATGTTGCTGAATGGTGGAACATAGAGGGAGAGGAAATTGAGTGGGTTATTATTTGATACTTGAATAATTTGACAACTTCGCTTTAAATAGAGAAAAGTCATTAGCAAGAAAGGAAATGTATACTGTGGGACCCATCACAGGAAGGTTGAAAGCCTACATAATATCTTATAGTTATTTTTTTTATTAAATCTAGGGTTAATTTTGTTTTACCCATTAAGTTAGCATACACTTAGGCAAAGTAAATGGATAAAATAGAAAATATAATAATCATGAAAGTAAGTGATAATGATTTAAAAAAAAAAACGTTTTAAGATTTTTTAAAGCGAAAAGGAAATTAGATTAAACTTGGAGTTTTGTTGTCAGGTATGATTCATGTGGTTTGGGGTAATTTGTATGTTTGGTATTGACCTTTTTTTTTTTAACTCGGACAATCTCTGTAATATATTTTTGTTGCGTCTTTCGTCCTACTATATATAAAAAGACTATTTTACCCTTAATAATTTATTTTTTAATTTTTCATTATTTGTTAATCATATTTAAATTGTTAAAAGACAAAACAGACAAAATGGTCCATGTCGTTAGTTAAAAATTGACACTTTAGTCCAAAAATGTTTGGACTAGTAACAGAAGTCTAATTTTTCATCATCTTTCGAGTTTGGTCCAACTTGTTTTAAACTCTTTCATAATGACGATTTTGCTCTTAAATTTTTTCTTTTTAGTTTTCTGTAATAATTATTAGTTTTTTTATTAGAATAAATAATAAAAAAAGAAAAAAAGAAAGTATAAACACTCCTCCCTTAATATTTGTCTTTTATTGTTAGAAGTTCAACACTTAACATGTTACACCCCCGACCGAGGCGGGGGAACATGTCGGATTGTGCGACTTTGTTCATGGATCACAAACAAATTAAATATACACCACAAGTACAACAATAATAAAAAAATAGTTATATTCCACTTTAAATTTTGAATACATGGTTCTTCAGATAATGATAAATATAGACATGAATTACCTTAACATATAGGCCGATATAACAAAAACTAGAAAAAACTAGGTTACCTGAAATCCATGACTATTCCTTCTGCTAAATGCTTGTTCAGTGATCTCCTGAGAATACATATAGTTTGAGAGTCAACACAAAGGTTGGTGAGAAATACAAGTTTTCTACTAATTGCAGTATTGATACTTTTAAAAAAGTCTAAAAAGTATTTCTGTTGTAGTTAAAACCATGTTTGAAAATATTTGATAAAGAGAGAAACTGAATATGTGGTTTCTAGATAAAGAATCTAGTTGATGCTTATAATGAGCCCTATAACGGAGCAATGTCTAGATATAACCCCCTTACGATGTTTCATTGGACATCGTGGATAAAGACTAAAGATAATTATCACCTGCTTCGATTGATCAGTCGAGAGTGTATTTGATACTTCTAAGAATTGAGGTTATTATTTGATACTTCGTGAATAAGACCCAAAATTTTCATTTTTCAATTCATAAAAAAAATATCCCAAAACATCATTGTAAATCCCAAGTGGAACAAATGTATAAAACCATCATAAAATATCAGAGTTAGCATGAAATGGGGAATAATATCGTGTGTGCACTACAATCACCCCGAGTCAATAATCTGACCTGATTCTATAGATAAACCTAAGGCCGAAACTCAAACAAGTCAAAAAGCCCATCTAATTCCGAGCCTAAAACTCCCAAGGCTCATAGACGGACGTACGTGCGGCGTACCTAGCTCGTACGCCCGACATATTTCGCTATCGTTGATCTAGAATTGAGGCGATGGCCAAGTACGCGCAATGTACTTATAAGTATGCCCTATGTACTGGTCGGACAACCAACCTTCTCGAATTGTCTTAACCCATTAAGTTTTTGACGTCCAAATTTAGATCCAAGGTCTTTAAAGTGTATTAATCCATAAAGTTTCAAAAATTATGCTTTTGCATGACTTCAAACCATGAATTAAGCCTTCTATCTCCCTTAAGTGGTCGCCAACTCAAGCATGGTTGAGTTCTAACCTCTAAGATTCGATTTTTATGACTCCATGCACCCTTAAGAGCCCAAAAGGACAATTCAAATGGTATGGAGTAGTCTATATTCCATGAGACCAAGTTATGCGATCAAAAGATGCTAAGTTCTTCCCCAAACCTAGATCTAGAACTAGAATGAACAAGTTTCAAACTTTATACCACAAATGAGCTAGAAATGATGAACAACCTCTGCATCTACAAGCTCCTTCTTGTCCAATGCTTCTCATCAAGCCTCCTTATTCTTCAAGATCACAAAAGAACACCCAAAATCTCTTTGTAAGCTTAAGAATGCTCTCAATATGCCTAGGGTTTTGAGATTAGCTCAAAAGGCAATAGGTGCTGATAAGGTAAAGGGCTTGAGCGACTTAATGAGCTTAAATAGGGTACAAACCCTAAAAATTAGGGTTTACACCTTGCTTGCGTATGCCCAACGTACACATGGGTATGCCAAGCGTACGTAGGGGATACCCCCGCTTCGCACATGCATGGGAGTACGCGGTGCATACCTTATGTGTCACACCCCTGGACCAGACGGCAGAAACGTCCGGAGGCGGGTGACTTCATTGTGCCGTATCATAACAATTGAATATAAATGAAACAGAGCAATCCAAACATCATACATTGAGATAACAAACTTACATTGTTTACATATTGTATTTGTTCTTCGGGTTACACAAAAGAGATATAAGTAGAAAATTCCAAGCTACAACTAAAAATCTTGCATCCGCGTCCCTTGTTACCTGCTTACTAGATCCCTGAGAATACAAGTTGTTTTTAAAAGCATCAACTAAAAAGTTGGTGAGTTCATAAGCATTTATGTATAAAATCGTTTACACTTGTTTAGGATCGTTCTTATTGCACTTTCAGAAAATCCGATATTTTCTATGAAATCGTTTGAAGTATTGCCTTGAAAATCATGGATATATGTGTGTACATGTCATTACTTTTGTTCATCCTTATAAGGAGTGATTTTGAAAGGTAGTGTTGTTGGGTTATGAGCATTCTAACACTCCTAAGTGTACATGCAACCCTAAATACCTTGGATCTATGTTTTCTCTATTATACATACAATTATGAACATCCAAGGTATTATCCTAATCTAGCATACAAAATAATAAATATAACAAGATAGAATACATACCTCTTTGATGTAGAATGTTTTCATGAAGCTTGAGTGCCTAGTGCCCTAAGTGTGACACCTCAAATGGTTCACACAACACCAAATACACTTGGAATAACTTGAGAGAAACTTGAACACTCCTTGAAATCGTCTAGCCCTCACACTCACACATTAGTGCACGATTTCTTGAGCCATGGGATTCTTTTATATAGTGGCTATTAGGGTTACACCATGTAACTCATAACTTTACCCATTCCTTATGCTCCATGGATTTTAACCTCCATGGAGTATCCATGGGTCACCCCATGGACTTAGTCCAACATAAGGTATCTTGGATCACAAGCCCACATATATAAGAATGAATGATTTACACAATCAACCCATATATTTAATTAGTCTCCTTTTGATCACTTAATTAATTCCAAATTAATTCTTGATCAATACTAATTAAATAACCTTATTAATATATTAGAACTTATAATATATTAACCAACCTTAAGTGTTATTTCTCTCATTATAGTCTATCCAAATGCATGATGCCATGCAACCCAAATGGACCATGCCGGGTTGGGTCAAGTCTTACCAATTATAGTTATGGACTTAGACATTAATCCAACAGTCTCCCACTTGGATAAGTCTAAAACTATTATTGCGTATGACTTCAGGAACCGATCAGCAATTGTAGCTCTCAAAAGCTTCTGTCGAACTCTGACCTTGTCGATGAACTCTGACCTTTGTCAATGACTTGTCCATTAGATAAGGGATCATATATTCCTCCATTCTAGATATCATATGGACTGAGACATGGATTATCAATCATTCTCTCTGTCCATTTGTTGTTTCCCGATTTCCGATTCATGATGACTGACTGATTGAACAAATCAAATCAGTCCTGGCTTGGCCAAGCACTCACATGTATCATCTTTAAATCATCGAGGGGGCCCACAGATATCGCTTTTATCCCGAAGGTAAAAGGAATGGATAAACTTCGACTCATATGGCTTGTTCTACTACTTGTTGAATCATACACAAAGGCACGTTTTATAACATCGAGTTACCAATGCGTTTTCGTGCAATCAATGTATAACCAACTCATAGTAACAACTCATATCTCTAGGTTTGAAGAATATAAGATATTATCGTCTCATGATCACTCGTGATAAAATCCATGAAGTGATTCAAATGAGCGCGGGTTGAATCCAATACTCAGAACTTATGAGCACTCATGAGTGTTGTAGCACCACTTTGTCCACCAACTTGGACCTCTACAAACCAACCCATGACAGTCTTGATTCATATCTACTTCCAACATATGACCGACTGTGGATGGTTTGAATAACTTAATCATTCAGGAAGAGCGACTTAGTTATTCTGGAAGTCAAAACATGCAAAGTGAAACACAAGAATAAATGAATCAAATATGGTATCAAACCCTATGAATATAAATAAACACTTTTATTTATCACCATACTGATTACTCATTATTCATTTTTTCGGTTTTATCAACTTTATACTTATATTTAAAACAATAGTTGTCCCATGCTCCAAGCATGTACACTATGTTTTCTAAACACTAGTCATGCCATACGCCAAGTATGCATACTATGTTTGTCTATGATCTTTACTTTGTAAAATAGATCAATTGAACATCACTCCAATGATCCTCTTTTCACAGTCCCAAATCCTTACTGCAAATGCAAGAATTCCAAATTCATGCCATTTACTGAAATCTGTTAGATTCTAAACTTATATGCATTGATCCTCTTAATGATTATGCACGAAGTCA